TGCCAAGTTGTATTGGGTTTAGTATAGCTGAAATCAGTTGTGGAAAAAATAATGCCATGACAACCGCTGTCGTGGTAACAGGTAAACAAACATCCAAATCCTATGGTGAGGAATTGCGTGGTTGTCAAGTTGTATCATGTTTAGTTTGGCTGAAATCAGCTATGGAAAAACTGTTGCTATGGCAATGATTTTCATGGTAACGAGTTAACGAAAACCAAATTCCTGTGGTGAGTAGATGTTTGGTTGAGTTTTCTATTTTTTATTTTATTTCAAAAATTTACAACATCATCCCATTATTATTTTTGAGAAACAGATTTGGAGATATACCATTGTCCTAAATCTTGAAAATGTAGACAAGATGTTTCAGTGGTGAAAGGTATATGGATTGAAAATAGCAACTTGTCTCCTCGGAAAGAATCCAAATGAGTATTTTGTGACCCAATACATATTTCTCATCATTAAGTAGTTGATATTCATGGATTATTTGATTCTGCTAACTTGACCTAAACAAACGACCGTTTACTATCGAAAATAATTTTGTCAAAACTTTTCTCAACAGTAAATGCCCCCACAGTCCTTTTTTCAGGGAGGAAGAAAAATATCCCTCCTGCATAAACACTTATTTTTTTGAACCATCTAACCTTACTCGACCTAAATGAACCTTCTTCCTAAGAAGACACTATATTTTTTTTCAGGGAGGAAGGAAAATATGCCTCCTGCATAAAAAAGGACACTACTTTCTTTAAACAAACTAACCTAACTCGGCTTGAATGAACTTCTTTTCAAAAGAAATATATTTTTCAACATCGATCAGATTTGGTAGCAAGGCATCGTTCGTGTGTGTTTAAATGAAGCAATATTTCTCCGATAAAACTTGGCAACCACGCATTTTCTCACCACAAGAATCGGATTTTTGTTTACTCGTTACCATGACGATCGTTAGCAATAGTTGTTCCATAACTGATTTCAGTCAAACTGAACCCAATACAACTTGGCAGCCACGCATTTCCTCACCACGGGAATCGGGTTTTTGTTTACTCATTACCATGACGATCGTTGCCATGGCAACATTTTTCTCCTAACTGATTTCAGCTAAACGAAACTTGAGCCGCCAACTATTTTTGCAAAAGGGGATTGAATCCGGTGAACGGGACTCTACTCGTATCTGCCCTAATAATCATGCAACAAAGGAAATTGGTTTGAAGAACCATGAAATTCCTAGGAATAACGTGATATAATATTGTGATTGGGAAAGCATTATATTTGTGAACCTCGATGAGTTGGATATAATGTTTTCTCTTAGGGACACATTCACTCGGTCTTTATCAAATTCTAGAGACTCCACCTTCTCATGACAACGCGAATGCTGATATAAAATCGAGCTCATGAATTGGAAGTGAAATCAATTATCCTGTATACCCTGAAGATAAAACCTTTTCAGATCAACGAAAGCTGTATCTAATAGCTACACAAAAGCGTATGCGGGCACAGAAGGTAGGTAGGTTTAGGCGATAATCGATGATGGGATGGAACAAAATCTCCTGAAAAAAGAAACGGGGAGTTGATGTAGTCTCCAAGATACCTGAAGTGAATTATTGAGGCTGATCTGGTAGCTATGCACGCATTTTATCAGTAGGTATGTTACAGAATTGACCTTTCACCAAACATTGAAAAACTTCGTAGAACTAAATAAATCACCTGATGGCGTCACGTCTGTTGATCTCTCAACGATCTAGCAAATATATTCATTCCAGTTGTTTATTGCAGACCTTCACTGTGGGTATATTGAAATACATATCTGCTCATGGAGAATCAGGAAATGCTTTATCAATTTCGATGATATTTCCATCACATTTCCATGTGGACGCCAGATTCACTAATATTTCGATAGCCCTGATGTGACATACCCGTTTTTTGTTCAGTTCTTGTTAAATTTTCCAGATGAACTTCTCCGTTAATTTGAACAATTTCCAAAATCAAATATTTTCGGAATATACTTTAGTTTTCTGCATATTGGTCTGTCGAATATATCATTATTATTTTCATTATTATTATTATTTCTTTCGATACCACCACCACTAGGCTAGATGCAAGTTACCTACATGTTTTGAGAACGGTGGAATGGAATTTTTTTGTTCGACTGATCTCTTTCGCGATATAGCTGAGAGAAGTATGTTCAACTTGGTTCATCTAGGAAAGAATGTTAAAGAACGTGAAACTGTGCGAAGATATGTATGAACGTGAAATGATTCAAATAAAAGTCAATGAACGTGATTAAAGTGGAATAATGTATCAGAGCATTCGTCAAGTAGGTATTTGCCACGCATTTAAAGCCGTTCTTCCGCGTAAAATCACAGAGCGCACCATCCGATTTGAGGATCTGAAACGAACTGGACTTTGTTCATGATCAATTTCACTCTCACACAACAAATTTCAGTGTGTTTCAGAGCAGGCAATACGTGGTTGTATATTTTTGACGTAACACAACACTTCTTGGAGCCTTGTAGCTTGTACAGATTACAGGTTTGTTCGCGTTCGAAGAATAAACAGTCCAAAACCATCAGAAGCATGCGCAGTTCCACGGAACATGAAAAATGCGTACTGTTCTGTGAAACTGCGGATGCTCCTGATGATTTCGGACTGTTTATATTATGAACGCGAACAAGCCTTACGATCATTGCCATACACAAGCGTCTAGCTAGACCAGTGAATCTTCAAACATCGAGGTCAAGTGACGTCACCCACAACACATGATATTTCTTTCTTTCTTGAGAAAACTAGGACTACCACGTGTTAAGCGATAGATTAGTGGCCTGTGTATCTGACTTTCGATTTAGTGACTGGGGTTCAATCCCTTCGAGGCGTCAATTATTTTTAATTTATTTCACTCAATTGATTTCTCAAGAATGAACTTCTTTGGAAAAAGGTTGATTCAGGACAAGTTTTAGGTTGAAAGTACTCTCTTTTTTCATGCAGAAGAGATATTTTCCTTCCTCATATTACCCTATGAGTCTAATAAACACGTATTATCTTCTGGTAACGCTTGTTTGCCATACCTACAAGCAACGAGGAATTGTGGCTCCACGCAGGAATTATTCCTGTATCCTGCTGACCACAAAGAAGAGCAACCACCTATTGATGCACTGAAACGCATGTACTGCAGTTGTTTTGTCGGCAAGAAATTGAGCATGAGCAAAGTCCAGTGCGGTTCAAAGCACCTTATTTAATGGTGAAATAGTCACGCTACAAAAGCTCAGCACTGATTTAGGAACCAGATATACAGACAAAGTCCGGCCGTGAGCGAATAGTGGCTCACTATCGGCCTCAACTGTGAATGCCTCCACAGTACGTTCTTCAGAAAGTATATGTTTAGAAAGAGAAAAAATCGAATTTTAAAAAGTGCCGGCTGTCATCCATTGTACCACCAAGCTTGCTTGAAAGCATTCATAATAGCTCAGTAAAACGGTAACTATTAGGACCCAATCCGGGAAAAAAATTGAGTTGTTGATTCCTCTGTGGTTCTATATGTTATAGGAAGTGCTGAGTTCGAATTTGAATTTTGCAAACCAAATTTCCTGGAGCGTTCTGAGATTTCAACAAAAAACAGCGAAATTTTCGCACTTTTTTCGTTGTTTTGCCCGTAACTCGGAAATCATGCATTATATCGGAAAGACCGTCCTATAAAAAGTTGAAGTAGATTGGATTTACTAGATAAAGTTGTCCATGCTCATGAATCTAGGACTGAAGGATACGGAGATAGAGCCAGTTGAAAGATGACCAAATTTGGGTACTTTTAAGGAAATAGCGTTCCTCTTCGGTTTTCGCAGATAATTCATATTTTACGTATTACTCAGAGACAGAGCATCATGCACATATTGGAAGAGCATTAGATTTTCTATTAGGCTCATGTAAATTTCGTCATCATGAAAAAAAAAGAACGGCTGTTAGAGCGCTCGTACTTGGAGACGTCTTTTTATCGTAGTTGCCACACTCATGTTCATCCTTTCAACTCATATGATCTGGATCATATGAACCTATATTCATCCAAGGACCAAAACGAATGAATAGGTCATTGTTTTGTTTTCCTATTATGTGGGGTGGGGGACAAGAAAAAAATAAAATTCTGTACGCTGGAAGTATAGTTGTTATAATTGCGATACAATAAGTCCAAATGCTATAGGGTATTCTTCGAACATTTTGATAAAAAACTGATGAACTATTCAAACTATCAAGATTACCTATTTTGTGATGGATAAGTATGAGAAGAGAATCAGTTCTCGCTCATATGGGTTCCAAGGTGTCAAGGGAATGAGGCAGCTGATCGCCTATCAAAAAAGTGCAGAACTCACATATATCCTTCCTGTGAGACAAGAAAAGGCCAATTTTCACAGAGCTCAGAAAATGGGATTGAAGTGGAATATCCTACTACTGTTGAGCAACCCCAGCTAAACGAGAAGGAAGGAGTTCTACAACAATTCGTGAGCTAGTTCCTAATTGATGTGAATATACTTAAGTACAATGACAAGTCGAGAGTCATGACATGCTGACAGAGGTGAGAATTCACATGGCTAGGACTCTTCCACATCAGGCAGTTCATTTCTTTGAGGAATGCGTAGATTTGAAACTATCTGCGAAAACCGACGAAAAACACTATTTTTTGAAAAGTACGCAAATTTGGTCAATTTTCAACTGGCTCTATCTCTGCACTTGTTAGTCTTACATTCATAAGCAATGACAATTACATTGAGCGAATTTTATCTACTTCAACTTTCTATGAGGCATGCTTTTCGATATAATGTGTAATTTCCGGGTGACGGGCAAAAAACCGAAAAAAGTCCGAAAATTTCGCTGTTTTCTGCGGATATCTCGGGACGCTGTTTGCAAAATTCACATTCGAATTCAGCAGCAAGTGAAAATACCATTTGATTAGACTAATACGCGCAGGTGCCTAAATCAGTGGTATTCTCTATATAGCCTCACTCTTGGCATCACAGGCTCACAGATTTCAGCACGTTGATGAAGTCGTCTGTTAGGGTTTGTAAATATGCACCTGGCATAGTACTCTCATCTTGTGATGCATACTACAATCATTCTTGGACTACCCTTACATCGGTATGCTACGTTTAATATAATTTTTGGTAGCCCGAAGTTTTTTGAAGCCACGAAAACTGTATCTGATTTTAACGAAAGCGAATACAGAAAACAGTCGATAATCGATGCTGGGATGAAACAAAATCACCCGAACAAAAAACGATAGTCTATAGTCTCCGAGGTACCGTGAATCATTGGGTCTGATCCAGCATCCACGTATCGAGGTATTAAAATAATTTCGTTGTTTATTCTGCTCGCCTGCGCCGATCTCCGTCGGCCATTAATCTTACCGGATAATTGAACGCTTTTTCTTGTTTTTCCCAGTTGATTATCTGCCACGCAAGTGTAATTCCCGAAGTCGGATCTGTGCACTTTGCGAATCACGAGCGTGTGGCGGGATCCGCGCGATTCCATTATTCTTCGTTCAGTCGTGTCCAGTTGCATCGTGTCCCTGTACCACAGGACCTGAAACAACAACATACCATGGAACATGCGGAATGGAGTTGGAGTTTTTATGGCTAGGTTAGGATTCAATATTTTCGGAGCATCGGCTGGGGATAGTCCGGCACGATTCGCTGTTGCGTTCCAATTATCAGTGCTGCTCCTGAAGTGGCGCATGGAGTTAGTAACAAAGCCTACACAGAACACGCAGGAAGAGATGATGATGTGGTTGTGAGCATCAGAGAAGAAGTAGGACGGTGTATGTAGGTGGGTGTGGAAAACTACCACCTGAGTGTGAGAGAGGGCCATCAGCTGCTTAGTGGACCCCAGTTTCTAGCAGGCCTGCCACTGCAGCATATGATAGTGAGTACATTACTAGCCTGCAGAACACAGCCGAAAAACTCTGGAAGAGAGCTGATGGGCGGTGCCTGAAAAGGATGTTAGCTAGCTCTCTTAAGCGAACCACATCAGTCATTGAAAACACCTTGGGGCTTGCAAAAAAGTCCGACTAGTTGCTGACGTGCAATCGTCCCCCACCAGTACCAGTACCAGTAGGATTCGACTAAATGACGGTACATCCGAATTCAAGAAATATACAGAGTGTCCGGAAATAAAACCGACAAAACTCATGAGTCCACAACCCCTTCGTAACTGACATACAGAGCGATTCATGGATTATGACATAGAATTCAATCTGTCATATTAAATACAGGGATTACCCGTTTGGGTTCAGAGGTACATGAATTGAACACAAAGGCTTCAACAAGTAGCCCTCCGATCGAAACTAACATCAGGACCGGAATATTATTTTTTTCCTACGTTGAGTTGTTGTGAGAATAACTCACTCTGTATAATAATTATTGAAAATTTGAGGTCAGATTATGAATCTACGGGAGAAATTCTATTGGAACTTGTAGAGAAAGTTTCTGGCAGGATATCAGTTTCGTGCGAAAAGCTACTTTACAGCTCAACAGCTTCTCATGATCTACAAAGCGCAGATATGGCCTGTTCTAGAATACTGTTCCCACATATGGAGTTCAGCACCAAAACATACGCTGATGCTCTTAGATTCCATCCAGAGAAGAGCCATTCGCCTGGTGGGTGACGCCACACTCACTCACTCTTTGACATCATTGGAACACCGTAGGAAGGTCGGCGACCTTTCACTTTTCTATCGATACTTCCACGGGAAATGTTCTTCGGAAATCTCTGCTATCATCCCTTCACTAGCAATACCAATCAGACGAACTAGACAAGCCCAGTCAGCACATCCTTTCGTTGTCAACCTCGAAAGATGTCGAACAGCACTTTATCAAGACTCCTTCATCCATAGAACGGCTAGGCTCTGGAATTCATTGCCTGTGAAAGTATTCCCAACAACATATAATCTCCAAAAGTTCAAAAAAAATTCCAATACCTACCTCCTGTCCCTATCCTCCCTAGGTACGCACGATGTTCTTTGAACATTATAGGGATTCCCTTTCGTGCGCTCCAAGCGATAAAAAAAAAATAAAAAAAAAGTCATTCCGTAATAAATCATGATTCAATTTTTTTTTCATAATTGGTGGATAAAATATCAGCAAAAATACAAATATAATGAATATTTACGAAACCAAAACATAATTGTTGTTATTCTCTTCGATAACTTCGTAGATATATTTTCATTCGTATCAGGACCTGCATGACTCTTTTACTTGTTCTTGAAATTACAAGGTGTCTCCAAAAGGTCTGTTCAAAATCTTAGACATAGTCCTGAGGTCAAAATAAACCGATTTGAAGTAATTTACCTATGTCCGAAATTGCTTTGTTATGGGGTGGTAAATTTGAAAATAAAAATCAACAAGTACACCCCAAAAAAGTATTTCGCATTTTTGCACTACTCATTCTCTAACCAAATGACATCCACAAAGATAACAGCAAACATGCATTTGTATATCAAAATAATTTCTAATAATATCTCGGAAATGGCTCACTTAAGCGAATTTTCACATGAGTAAATTTCTTGCTTATAAATATTCAGAAAGTAATTTCATCAGAAAAAAGTAAGAAAAAAACACTGAGTAAAAAGTTATGGTCATTCTAAACCATGAGAAGGGCATTAGTAAGCGACCTCTAATGGTCACAGTGAAAAGGTGTTCGTGTTTGCGTTCTGCATGCCAAGAAGCCCCTGGTTACTAATTCTTAGAGTGAAACGTTCAAAAATGTTCATAAATTTCGAGAAAATTCGATTATTATTTTTCACATTGCCCACCCTGTATCTCAGAAATGGAGCGATTTCGTACTCAGGTAAGTTGCTTCGAATCGGCTTATCTAGATCTCAGGACAGGACTATGTGCTAAAATTCTGTAAATACCTTTTAGGGACACCTTGTACTTACGAGAACATGAAAAAGAGTCATTCCGGTCCTGATACGAATGTATTCTTCTTTTTAGATCACGAGAGTAAATTATAAAATATATCTACGAAGTTATCAAAGATAATAACAACAGGAACTGTACCTACTCCCACTACGAATAGAGGCCCTTGAGGGAAATATCTTATGACCATCACAAAGTGTATTCTTTTCTTTATCAATATATAAAGTGAATCCAATATTTTCCATGGTATAAGGATTTTCTCCATATGAAATTATTTTTCAGGAAGGAAGACAATGGAAATAATTGAAATAAGTGTCCTTACTGAGGTCCTTACATAGAGGTCTGTTGAATGATGTGTATAACATTCAGCTTCAATTATTTTCTCTCAGGCAAAGAAAATGGTTCAGAACATTTTGTGGAACAATGCCATTTCTTAAAAGGACAACACTTATTATGGATAAATTCAGTTGGGAATAATGGCTCTAAAATGTCCCTAATGAACTTGAAAGAAACTAATTTTCTTGTATAATCCTTCTTTCTCCAAAAGTTTCATAGAAATTTCAGTTAATTTTTTGAAACATTCTGTATTAATCTTATAAGGAAGATATCTTGGAGATATTTCCATCATGTTGCACTTTTATTGCATTAATGAAATGGAATTAATTGTGATAATGACTTCTTTATTGATTCATTTTCTCATCATTTCATTTTCAAACAGTAATATTTTCCAAATTGATACTGAAATAAAACCATTGAGTTGAAATCATTCAATTTATTCAGTAGGAAATCCTCTTCAGTTAATTGTTTCTTCTTTCTCAGAAATAATGGCCATATCAATTTCAAGAATTTTTCCTCACATCCCTTGTCAGCATGCCCTTATCCATCATGATTCCATCATTAGGTTCAGACTTCCCAATGGAATTTTCTTTATTAAATATTGCTATAGCTCAACCTCCATATTTTCAAATGCCAACAGAAATCAGACCTGATGGAGTGATATTGCAATGAGGATTTGATTGTGTGTTTTTGTAATGTGTCTGTACAATAGGAGCAAGCACTGAGGACCTGAACATATCTTTCTAGATTTCTGTTTTCACAGTCTTCTGTACTTGCTGCATGTTTTGGAAAAACAGTGAACTATCTCGCAATTTCAAAAAAATATTGAAGAACTTCAAAATTTTTCAAAATTCACTGGATTGCACAATGCTAAATTGGTTTGTTATGTTTATAACCTCCGCCATTTTCATTTTGCCGCTCGACAAAAGACGACTGGGGAAACAGTGACGTCAGGCCAAAACAATATGAGGCAACCTAATAGAGTTAAATAGCCTTGATACAAGGCAACCAACATAACATGAAGTAACCACTAAGGCGGCTGCCGTCATAATTCCACCAGAAATGACAATGAGATAATGAGAGACATGGAGGATTGTGAAGTTTTCCATAGTGATCACGAACATTTGAAACTTTGGTGAAGGAACATTTTGGAATTATGGTGACAGAATATCGCATTCACCATTTTATTCGACGAAACAATCGCTAATCCTGAAGATCCTGATCAGAAAAATGAGACAATATTAATGAATTAATGTGTGCGAAGTTTCATTCGACGTTTTGGAGTGGGTCAAAATCACGTTCGTAGATTTTTTTCCAAGATTCACACCCTGTATCTTTTGAAAACTATGCATTTTCAGACCTAGGTTGATATGTACTCCTCGTCTTGGAATCACCTAAATAATCTCTCCTTGAAATTTGATCAACTACTTGAATATCACCTTGTATATGAAGGAACTGATACTAAAATATCTGCAAAATTAATCACCACTACTTGCAACAAAAATTGAGATGAATTTGATAGAGGCGTGAAATTAATTTCCAGCGTTACTGGTCGTTCGATTTAAGTGAGAAAAAGTTGACGAAACATGATTATACGAGCCCAGATTACAGATTTTATAATTATTAACGTTAACATTGTGATCAGGTGCTGTCGAGAAGGTCTTATTAACGTCACGCATACTTCGAGTACTTCGTAATTGAACTGCAAATAATTGTGGTTCACTAATCGGATTATGGATTAATTGGTGTCAAACTGATGAAATACAAGAATTGGTCATGTTCTATGATTTTAGGTAGATATCTCAAATTCGATCCTCACCATTGGGATCTCG